TCTTATCATGTTTCACTATCTGTCCACAAAATTGGTATAATACCTGTTCTAAAATAGTGATGTTGCGCCCGGGATTTAGCTCAGTGGTTTCGCCGCCTGCTGGGCAAGCGCAAGGACCAGAGTTCGATCCCTGGTACGAAAAAAAAAAGAAAAAAAAAAACAAAACTTAAAATAGTGGTGTTGTAAGAATGAAATGATGTGGTTCTTGAGTGCAAGGTAGCATTATCACTTTGGCACATACTAAGAGCTCAATAAATGCAATTTTTTTTTTATTCAAAGGAGAGAGTTGTACAGTGATTAGGAATATAGCACCTTGCTGACATGGTGCAGTTGTTACTGTAGGAAATTCAGTGTGCCTTCAAGCTTTTATTTGTAAAGCGTGTACTTAGTACCGAATATCTGCAAGGCACTGAGATAGGAAGAGATTTTTTTTTTTTAGTCTTGTTAGGGGAGGAAACAAACAGCACATAGTTAAATAGTTAATTATAAATTATTAGTAAATAATAAATTATTGTATACCAAACCAATAATTTAAGCTATTAAAGATACTAAAGAGTAAGTACATAGGGGTTTTGAGAAGAGGAAGGTTGTGAAAAGCTACATTAGTTAGACATCTTTCGTGGTGTAGCATGTCTGCTACCTGGACCCTTAGTAAAGAAGGAGGGAGAAGAAAACATTAAAGTATGAAGAAGACCTGAAAGATTAAAAGCCTAGTGTCCTTGAGCCAGGCATGGTGGCACACACCTGTAATCCCAGCAGCCAGGAGGCTGAGGCAGGAGGATTGCTGAGAGTTCAAGGCCAGCCTGGGCTGCATAGTGAGTTCAGGGCCAGACTGAACTATAAAGGGAGACTGCCTCAGAAAACAAAACAAAACAAAACAAAAAATGAACGAACAGAAAGCCTAGTGACTACCCAGGGAAATATTTTTGTGTACTTTAACTTAGTTCCAAATATACGGAATAAAACAACAGACTAAAGCTGGGTCTGTTGATCCAGACAAAGCTAGAGGAAAGGATCCTGTTTTCCTAGGTTTATGAGTAGCAGATCATTTATTCTGTAAATTCTTACGACTCTTAAGTTTAAAACCAGAGAGTGAGCCACACCTCATTACATGTGCCTTTCCTTTAAAGCCTGAGCCAGATAACATGTGCTCCCAGTTCTTGGAGATTTCTCCCTTAGATTAAAATAGAAGTGTTCAAGGTCCTACAAAATCTGTACCTGCTGACTCCCTTAACTAATCTTACCAGTTTGACTTCATTTCTTGTGACTTCTCCTACACTCTGTCCAGTTATAGTAGCCTCCTTCCATTTCTAGGAGTAGTATGTTAGAAATACTACCACCTTACAGCCTTTATACTTGTCTGTTCTTTCTATCTATAAACTTTGAATTTCACATATGCATGTGGTTTGTTCCCTGTGCCCCCTCAGGTTTTTATAAATACTTAATATGACTTTCTCTGACCGTCTTATTTAAAATTGCTTCTCTTACTCACATATCAAACACTAAACCTGCTATTTTCCTTCCAGAGCACTTACTGTGTATTTCTAAAATTAATTTGTTCATTTTCTCTTTAGATCCCTGTAGCATATAAGTTCCATGAGAGCAGAAAGGTGTTTTTTTTTTGTACCAGGGATTGAGCTTGCACCTCACACTTGCTGGGCAGGCGCTGTGCTGCTGAGCTGTATCTCTGGCCCCTGAGAGGTTTTTGTTTTTGTTTCATATGATGCCTAATTTCCATCGGCTAGCACAAAGTAGTTAATAAATATTTGTTAAAGAAATTGACTTTCTTCTGAGCTGTAAAAGAACTTGATCACTACAGACTTTTCTTTCATTTACTGCTGCTGAATAACCTAAATGCAGTCTTTTTGAGGGATTATCAGATTATTTGGTTAATATAAATACATACTTTGAAGTATATCAAACTATAGATGTATTCACAATTTTTTTTTTTTTTGGTACTGGGGATCAAACTCGGGTCCTCGCGCTTGCGAGGCAGGCGGCGGAACCACTGAGCTAAATCCCTGGCCCGTGTTCACAATTTATTTGTTTCTTTTAGGAATGCATAATGGTTGATAGATTTGATTTCAGCTTAAGAGAATGGAAGAAAGTATACACTTGATGAAGGAATCAATAAAACTGATGTTTTTGAAATTGGTGAGAGAGGTTTGCAGAAGGACAATCAACATGTGTCTTATGAGTATCACAAGATAAGAATTAGTTCCTTGAGGCAATATGTGATGGGAAACCAGTGGAAATTTTTGAAGGATCTAATAAAACATTTTAGGAATTTGATTTTTAGTCATTAGGATTGTTTAAAGGGAAAAGAAGTCAAAATACCAAAGGTATATACAAAGAAAAGCTTGATACATTTGAGGTTTGAAATAATTTGAACAAAAAAATTGAAGAAGAAATGACCAAACTAGGAGAAATTGAGAAAAAGCAATAATAGGAAGTTGGAAACAAAGACAATAAAATGGCTTCAAGATTGTACCTTTAAGGGATAGAAAAGTAAATTTTGAAGTACTATCTTGGCATCATCGTTTTAGGGTAAGCAATAAGAACTATAATTGACTCTCACGTCCCCCTACAAAAAGAGACAAAAAATGCCTGAAGTGTTGCTGTGGACTACTTTTGAAATAAGATTTTTTGCCTAGTTGAGACAGCTAGGGTGTTATATATTAGGGGTAGCAGTATACATATGTTCTTTCCAATAAAGATTAGGTAATTTGTATGAGATATATTGGGGAGTTTCTAGAAATATGGAAATGATTTGAGGGAAAACAAAGTTACATGTGTAAAAAAATACTTCTTTTAGAAGTTTAAGGGCTGTTGCTGCTTTTGGATGGAGTTTTTTGAAGCTTAACCCCAAGGCTGAATTTTATTTCTGCTATTGTTAATTTAATAGGTGACAATTGTCACTGTAATTGGGAAAAATTTTTTCTACCAAAAAGCCCATAGCAGAAAGTATATTCTTGGCTTTTTGGATATTTTGTGCTCTCAAATAGCCTACTAGGTACTAGACAAAATCTAGATACAAAGCGTAAAGTAGTTGTTTTTCAACAAAATTACTGTTCTCCTTACCTTTTTGTGTTTTCTTATTCCTCTACCTTCCCAGTTGCTCAGAACACACTTTTCTCCAGCTTCCTGTAGAATTTAACACTTTTGCTTTAGTGTTAACACAAAATAAAGTAGAGTAGATTTAGCCTAGGTAGCAGAACCAGCACTTTTAAGCACCTTGGCTCCAGTCGTACAAACATGAATAAAATAACACATGGTCCCTGTTATGAGAAATTCACAATAGAGCTGTCTAGTGGTAGAGCATCCAAAATTTATAGTTATGCTTTAACAGAGATACACGAAGAACTGGTTTTCTATTTTATAGTCCTGGCAAAAAAATAATTTTGTGCCACGGATTTAGTTCAGTGATTCTGCCACCTGCCTCGCAAGCGCAAGGTCCCAAGTTCAATCCCTGGTACCAAAAACAAAAATTTTTTTTGTAAAATATAAAAAATAATACTGCCACAGCTTTTCTTTATTGACTTTAAAGCTTGTTCTTTAGAACTGTATGTTATTTTTAAGAATTGGTTTTCTTAGAAACAAATAAAATAAAAAACTAGTGTTTTTTGTATTGTTTGGCCTGTTTATTACAAATAGAGTGACATGGCATTTTGGTTTATATATTGAGCAAAACACAGCTTTACTTCAAATTGTTCAGATTTTACATTAAAATTAGTGTTATTAAAAATTATCTTTTCAGTCCATGTGTTCTGAATTTTAACATTTAATTGTTAAGCTATATTATTCCCTCTTTTGAGAACTTTTGATTTTCTATCTTTCGAAAAATTTTTTCCCTAGCACTACAAAACTCCCTAGAGTTTTCTCATTGTACAATGTCTAAAAAAAACCCATTACCAGAATCTCTTTTGATGATAACAGGATACATTTTTCTTTCCTTGCCTTTGTATTGTACCTTGTTAAACTGATCTCTCATATGAACTTTCTTAGAATCAGGCAGTTCCTCGTTCCTATGGGACTTCCTGTTTTCTCAGATAAAAATAGAAAAGCATCTCAGAAAGGAAACCTGGTCAGTGTGAACTACTTTGTAAGACCAGTTTTAGTTGTGACCTGGATTATACAAATACATAATGTGTATAAAATATATAAATGTTTTAAGTACCTTGGAGCTTTGAGTATTTTTGCATATAATATTAAAAGAGATGATAGAGGGAAAGATCTGAATAATCATGAGAAGTGTTATACTGTTCAGTCTTAAATTTGTTTCTCTTGAGAGAGTGGGGGTAGAAAGATTGTATAGGAAATATTAAAATTTTCCCTATTATATAAGTCAGTGTTTTATTGGAAATTCAGAGTTATCTAATATGAGACTTAATTCTTAGCTACTTTGATCTTTTTTTCTTGCTGCTTTTCCAGATATTAGCAAAGATTAGTAAAGTGTTTTTAATCATCAGAAACCAGACTTCTAAATGAATTATTCAGGTTTAAAGCATCTTGTAGTCAAGCAGTTAACTGCTTTTAGTTTGTGTTTCAAAACAAAACAAGGCAGAAACATGATACTGTCATTAACTGTAGTAGTAAGAATAATGGATTACTTCATTTAATTTTAACAACTATATAAGGTAGGTATCATTGTTAGGTCTCTTTATAGAAGAAATTATAACGTAAAGTGGCTAAGTAGATGTTACTTTTAAGGAAATGATGCTAAATAAGTAGTGGATCTGGGACTTGAATTTAGTGCCTGACACCAGAACATTTGATAGAATAGTACTGAAGAAAACCACAAATCATAAGTGAGAATTGGTCAGTATATTGTATGAAAAGTTGCTTCCTCAATTTTTATTATCATTAGTTTGTTTACATTTTGTTTGCATATTTACATTTAGTTTTAGCAAACTACATTCTGACTTTACAGAGGACTAGTTTAGGAGTATTTAAATTCTTAAGTGACACTAATAGTTTTCTTTTTTTCTTTCCCTTGATAGTAAAAGACCCATTTGATGCAACATTTGGAAAAATACAAGTAAGTAAAAGATCATAATATTGATATTTTATGTCATGTTTTATATGATAAAAGTATTCAAATAATTATCAACAAAAAATAATTGAATGGTTCTTTTAGTCTGAAATAATACATTTCCTTATTCTGACTATTTCTCAACTGTAATGTATAATTATGTCTGACATAGATTTTCCCTGAAAAGCTGAACTCTTAATCTCTAATGTAAAGCCAACTGTCAAGTAAAATTTAAGTGGCATCTGCTGCCTGCTGTGCAAGCGCAAGGATCCGAGTTTGATCCCCAGTACAAAAAAAAAAAAACAACAAAATTTAAGTGGCATATCATTCATGGGTCTGGGTCTTACACTTAGAAGTATGGGTTTTGTCCTAAGTTGTTGGATGCATTAGCAGGTTTTGTCTTATTTCTCTACTAGGGTATTTTGTGCATTAGCACACCTATTCAACCATCAGGAAGGCAAAGGATTTAGAAAAGACACATATTGGGGCTACTATTTAAGATTCCCTTCCTTTTCAAAGGTTGCTGTATTAATTTACTTTAACCTTAGTTTTACTTACATGCAAGTATTTTTCACTTAAAACCATCATTTGAAGGTTAAAATAATCATGTGTATA